CATGTCTCTAATTGCTAGGTATTTATTTATTAATTTTTAGACCACACATTTTTAATTGTATTAATGGCTCTTCATTACAACATCTTTCATAAAACATCTTGAGAATTTTAAGCACTCTGTGACCATCCATGCCATCCATTCCTGCTAGCAACCACCAAAATGACCAAGCAGTTTTGAGGTGAATACTTTAGTAAAGGTAATTATTAACTACGGTATGATCAAGGTCAAGGTGTACACATTGTTCAAGAGAAGAATTGCTTGAAGGACCCTCAAGCACTGCATTGGCTCCAAGCTCTTAATGCTGTAGCAACAAGGGTAGGGGAGCCATAAAATTTCTCTCCGTTTTCCTGGACTCTCACTTTAGGAGAGAAACGATCTCATCCAGCACAAGCCGGGCTGTGTGTTCTCAATGCTGTTGTATCAGGCCCTAGGAAATCGGGCAGAGAAGCCTCTCCTCTACGACAGTACCTCACTGTCCTCATCTCCAAGAACAGTTATGGTCAGCAGAGCAGCTAATCTCACCGCCAAGGGGGAGGGAAGTCAAAGGGAGCCTCAAGTAACTTAGTACCAGGACATTCCAGGCTTTAAAATAGCTGCCTTTACCTCATGGGTCATTTGAAGAAATCTATACAGAACTTGAAAACAAGTTGCCATAGAACCTGATCCAAGAGAAGCAAGGTTCCCACCAGATGTTTTTGCTTATTCCTTTTGTTTTTGTGTTCCAGAGTTTCTTCTTCAGCTTAAGATTTTTCCTGCCTACTCATTCACTCCCTGGATGGTTTAATTCTCCTCTAGGTGCAACTACTATGCATAGTAGGTACGTGGACATGCACTTTCCTGACTCTCCCTCTTTCCTAAGCCCACTGATCGTCTCCTGGCTGGCAGCATCCACTGCCTCTCAGGCACATCCATCACCTGGCCCTTCACGCTCCCGTTCCCCCTGTTTTGTTGAATGACTTTACCCTCCGGCTGTTCACACTAAAAACTTCAGTCATCTTTCCTTCTTTTCTCCATCATGTCCCCCTCCTCCAAACACATTCAGTCAGGCATCAGGTCTGATCACTTCTGTCTATGGAAGGTTCCTGGATTCCTGGAACTTTGTGAGAAGCTTTTAGCTTCTCTCAGATCAAAGTCTCTCTGTTGCCAACTTATCTTCCACCTAGTCAATTATTCTTCCAGAACAAAAATCTGGTCTTACTTCTCCCCTGTTTAACAGCATCCGGTAGTTACTCATTGTCTGGATAAAGTTTTATTTCCTTAACAATGAGTACACGATTCCTCTGAGTCCCTTCAGCCCCAATCAAAATTTCACTCCTCTGCTGACCTACTTTCTTGGATCACTGCTTTCGGCCAGAGACAGCCAGCTTTTCCAACATCTTAGCCCAGAAGTGATTTCTTTTCTTTTCTTTTCAGAAATGATTTCTTAATGTGCTATCTAGTTTTTCATTCCATTTCTTTTTCTGGGTTCTCAAAATATTTTTTCTTCTCACTTAGGTCATGATTTGCAAGCCTAAGTTGAAGATTTTACTTTATTATCTTATTTTATCCTAACTAAAAGAAAATAAACCACATCAAAGTCTGTTGTCTTGCCAAAAGGAGTTCTGAAGCTGAAGTTCAGAAAAATATCCAGCATAGTCTTGTACAGTTTGGCTCGTGTTTCAGTCATGAATAACACTGCTTTTCAAAGGGAAAGGAAACATTCGGTCTACTCTTCTCACCACAGCACTTATTTGTCATGACTTTCTTGTTCTGAAAGTTATGGAGTCAGGTGTCATGGAGGCTTGTTTTCTGAGCAGTGAGAGAAGACGTATCTTTGTACTTTAAAACTAGTTCTTCAATGAGAACTCTTTCTACCCACCTCTCCTCCAAAGCAAAGGTCAGAATTAACAGCTTAATACTAAATTCTGGGTACTGTATTATTTTTTCCAGATATAGCCCCAGCTTGAGGAAGGGAAGCATCCTATACCTCATACCTGATTTTTTTTAATGTTTCTAGTAAAAATAACTACAGCCTCCTTAGCAGCAGCTCATAGAGGTAGACAGTTGTATGAATGTTATGGATATAAATGAAAATAATAGTAAGAATTACTGAACTGCCCAGATTCAAGAAGGCCCTACGTCCAATTCCATCAGTTTCCAGAAGCCACTCTTCCTGCCCCTCAACTCCCACAGGTAAGGGACTGGGAAGTCTGGGGAGAAGCAGGAACACTGATACACACAGTGTGTGCAGGTAGTTAGCACAGGTGAGTGGCTAACTGCGCCCATAACGCAACTAGCTTATTAGATGCAAGCGGAATAATCAGCCAGCAAACACTTGCTGATGAGGAAGGGCTGTGTCACCACCATACTGTGTTAGTTAGGTGGTAGAACATGGCGGGGAAGCAGAAGAGTTCAAAAACTGGAGGGGAAGATATACCTTCAACAAATTATCACAATTTATTAAATAAATCAAATTAAGGATACAAAGCACTATACGTAAGAAGTATAGGTTGCTTGGTAACTACATTCAATATCTTGTAGTAACCTATAATGAAAAAGAATATGGAAACGAATATATGTGTGTGTATGTATAACTGAAACACCATGCTGTACACCAGACATTGACACAATATTGTAAACTGACTATACTTCAATAAAAGTAAATAAATATAAATAAGTCAGAAAAAAAAGAGAAATCTAGGCCACCAACAATGGAAACTCAACACACATATGCATGCACGTGCACATCCACTGAACAGAGCTTGAAATGAATCTATCTCCTCCACCTCAAGTGACAGCTTTGTTAATTCATAACAAGCAATATAAACAGTAGCTTCTATCTAGAATTTATATGGAGCCATTTTCTGTTGTTTATAGCTGCCTGATAAAAGCAAGCAAACATGGGTACTACTGATGTCAACAGGCAGGGTTGCTGCAGTAAATTTATTCACAATGAGTGATTGTTATGGGTTCTGATGTAAATAGACAAACCGGGGAGGCGTGTAAGAATTTGGATGTCTACTTACATAAGCAATAGAGAGCATGGTGGCTGAAAGTAGGCCACTGGAGCCAGACTGGTTTCTGTTCTATACTGGATCCACTGTTTACTAGCTGTGTAAACTTGGACCCCCATCTGTAAAGCGAAGATAAACAATCACATTAACAAACTCAAAAGCTGTTATGAGAATTAAATGAGTTAATACCTATAAAGCACTTGGCGCATGCCAAGTGTCTGCCACAGACTGTGTGCTCTACAAATGTCACCCATTGTTTTCGCTCAAACAAGGCCGTTTTTTAACTCAACCAACTGAGCACAATTGAATCTCATAGACACAGAGGGATTTTTTTCAGTAGTGCATCTGGGTAAGCATATTTATTAAGCATAGACAAGAGGGTCCAGGAATTTAATATCGTATTTGTTGTCTTTATGGCTGTGTTTCAGTTAGGGTGTTAACCGAGGACAACAGTATTTTCAGATTTAGAATGTGACATTCACTCTGATATTGTTAGTATATACAGTAGTTAAAAACAGTAGTAGATAGTCTTCATGTATGTTAGCTTCCTTTTCAAAAACTAAATTTGCCATATTATATGAATTACTACTTTCCATTTAACCCAATTGTGACAAATTAAGGAAAGAGATGATAGAGTATGAAAAGCTAATGGAAGCTTTCAATATGTGGAACACTTTAGAATATAAATTTCCACAGTATTATTAATAGTTATATCATCAACAACAGTTTTTCAGACTTTGTGCTTCACTCTGGAGAAAAACAGGAGTATGACATCTTGAATTTCTTCATTGGGTAATTTGAAACCGAGTTATAATGTGAACACCAACTGCACACATCATGTTACTTGAGTTCAGTATCAAAGTCATAAACAAAACTAGTCAGAAAAATATTTTCTCTCTCAAAGCTGTTAGTATTTTTAAAAACCCATCAAGTCAACAAAATAGTGAATATCCATGATCATAAATCTTTTTATTAATTCTTTGGTTAAGGCTTTATTAAAAAAACATTTTAAATTCTTAGTTTTACTCTACTCAAATAGACTATAATAACGAATAAATATGTTGCACCTACTACATTCCAGGTGCTGTTCTAGACAATTCTAAACTGCTGCAGTTGTTAAACAGGTCTAAACTGTCGCAGTTGCTGAACAGTTCTAAAGTGTTGCACTGTTTTAAAAGTTGCAGCTTTTATATAATACAGCAACGTCAAAGCGAAGAAAGCAGGTGTAGTACCGAAAACTTAAGTTCGCAGAGTCTAACCAGTGTTCTTCGTATAACATTTACACTGACACTGAGATTCATGAACTAAAAAACTTGTATCAAGTTTTTATTACCATTCTAGAAAGGAGTGACGTTTTTCAGTGGACCATATTCCACTCCGTCCCTGATGCCGATAAAACCGTTCTCATTCTGCTGCTGTGGGAAATAAGCAACAACGGAAAAGTAAAAATGAGTTTAGAGCATAAATCAGCTGTCAGTTAAGTCAAGGGGATGGAACCACGAGCCCCCAACCCGGGCCCTTCCCAGCACCCCCCAACCCCAACGGCCAGAGCCACCGTCGCC